TATCTATATCTAAAATTGGCTTTAGAAATTTAACCTTTCTAATAGTACAAATTTCTAATAATTTATCCAATAATAGTAGTGAATTTTTTAATTTAACAACAAATTGATGAAGTTTTTTGATTTCATCTTCTACATATTTCATTCCAGCTTTTACTGTCAAGTTGATAATATGAGCAGTATATCAAAAATGAATAAAAGACATATTATTAAATTCTTGATCTAATTCAGTTGCTAATTGATTATCACATGCTATCATATTGCTTCCATTATCTGTTATCATAGCAAGAATATTCTGACTAATATTGAATTCTTCAAAAAGTTGTGAAAATTTGCTTGTAATTAATTCAGCTCTATGAGAACCATTTATAGAAATTATATCAAGTAAAAGATTCTTTAATTCCCAATTATTATTAATATAATGAATTGTTATTCCAAGATAACAATCTTTTAGATCTGATGTTTATATGTCTGTTGTGAAAGATATTTTTGAATTAATTTGTGAAATTTCGCCTATTAAATCATTTTTTTTGTATCATAATTTTTTTTTTAAAGTTTGTTTACATAGTAAAATAAATTGAGAATTCAACTTAACAAACAATTTAAATTCAGTATTTTCAACAATAGAAAAATGTTGTAAATCAGTTGCAATAAAATCAATCAATGAATTTGTGATAGAGTTGGATTGTGATAAAGAATAGGGTTTAAAGCACGTTTCATTCAAAGTAATTTGATGATTTTTAGTTTTTTTATAATAAAATAAATGTTTTTTAGTTAAATATTTTTGAAGGGTGGTTGTTGAATTGCCAGGCGAATAAATTTTAGCACATAATATGCATTTATAACTTGTTGTTAGTTCAGTTTCTTCATCTTGGACTTTTAAAAAAATTTTCATACATTTGACTTGCGAGTTGTTATATTGAAATCTTCTTCAATCACTAAAGAAGTTGAAGAAACATCTGAGAAATTATCATCATTTTATTTGAAATTATGCCACCAGATATTGTATAATACAAACAATAATGCAAAATGAAAATTATTCTAGTTAAAATGACCAACACGTCTTATAATTTATGTGATACAGCATTTATATAGATTGATTATTCAAACTGGTCTAAATACCAGTTCGACTCAATTCAATTTCAGTTTTATTTGATCCTCAAATTAAATCGAAACCAGTTCTATGATCAAATCAGAGTCAGACTGGTCTGACTACAGATCTTAATATCCCTAATCACAGTGACTAATTATTATTAAATATCTTTTTCTCATAGACTTGTCATTGCTTAGTTATAAAAATGTATAAAATGTCTTATAAATTGTGTTTTATGTCTTTATGTATTTATATTATAACACAGATATTAATTAAAAATTTATGTTACTTTCTGCTTCTATAGTATCTAAACTTTTAGGAATTTCAGCTAGTACACTTTGACATTGGAATAGAAAGAGCAAAATATAATTTTCTAGACTTCCCTCAGAACATAGAGTTTATAACATCAAGTCTATACTTAGAAATTATGTTATCATCGTCACCATTACCATCTTCACCTTCTTCTCAGAATCCTAACATAAATCTTTTATTTATATTAGAATCTCAAGCTCAAAATAGAAAGAAGATCTTGAAAGACAGAAACAATACCTCCTCTCACCAGTGTTAGCAAATTTCAAGATTATTTTCCTTTTTTTAAAATGATCTAGATCAATTTGTATGTGATCATATAATTAGATTTTATAGTAAAGTTATTACATGATTAGATTATTTTAAGGTCACTTTAAGAGATCCGGATTGCGTTCTCTACTAGAACGATCAAGTCGCAGACTAGTTAAAAAAATTGTTATTATCTACAAAGACAAGCTATATCAGTTTGCCTTTAACTTTCTTGAGTTTGTCTTCAAACTTAATAGCATAAAGATCATGGTTTTCTCAGAAGATAACCTAATAGATGAATAGAAATTATTTCAGGATATTCTCACTATTAATACAATCTTCATTTGCTGATTATAAGGAAAGCATTCTGCTAAGTAAATATTTTATTTTTTTCATATATATATTTAACTTTAACTTTATTTTTATAATAAATACTCAAGCAAATGAATTCTAATTAACTTAATCTATTCAAATACAAATGAGAATGAAAACAAGACAAAAAATAAAAAATACAAAAAGAAAATATATGATAAATTAAAAGAATAAAGAAAGTAAATTTAATACAATCATTAAAAATATGAATGTATTCCAATTCCTCTTAGAAGACCTTGCTTTGACAATGGATGGGTTATGCTAGATTAGTTTACAATATGGTAATGAACAATTACCATTTGAGTTATAGGATTACAAGGCAATTTTTCTTTAGAATGCTATTCTGGCTAAAGATTAAACATACAAAGAAATGGATTTTTATGAACAAGGTTCTATATGAAATATTGGATCATGTCATCTCAGATGCTATATTAACAAGAGATGAAATTATCAAAAGGAATAAGAAAATTAATATTAACATTATGTTCATCATTTTAGATCTAAGAAAAATGATTGTTAATCAACTACTATCTGTACTCAATACTATTACGAACATTTCGTTTTTATATCAGGCTCCTACATAATGAAACTTTTTGCTATTGATCCCAATCATCCACGTTACAAAATGAAGCTACCATTTTATCATGAACATTGAAGATGCAATCATGGTTGACCAAATGAGATTAGTGAAGTTAAAATGAACTTAAAACTAATATACGAGAGAAACTAAGATATTAAACATTCGTATAGATACATGGAAAGTCTATCTGTAAGAATCAAGCAGAAGAAATTCACGTTACAGCCATTGATCCTGAAGTTTGTACCTTTCTTATATGGTATTCTCACAATTGATTATTGAAATATCAGAGACAATGATATCAATCGTGTTTTTTCGCTTATGGCTTATTTCACGCACCACCAGAGCATTAGCAAAAAAGCGTAACTCTATTAAGCGCGCTCAAGTACGCATGAGAAAACATATTCAAAATTTAGTGGATGAAGTGCATAAAAAACCTGCATTGTGGTTGACTAAGACTTTTGACATAATTGTGTTACCTAGATTTAATATCACACAGATGTCTCGTAGGCAAAAAGAAATTAACAGTAAAACATTTCGAAAGATGATGAGCTGGACGCATGCTAAGTTTAGGAATTGATTGTTATCTAAAGCGGAAGAATTTGGTAAAAATCATAATAACATCTCTATTCTGAAGCATATACAAGTAAAACATGCAGTCATTGCGGATATATTAAAAGGAATTTGGGTGGAAATAAAGTATTTAACTATAGTTGATCGATTCAATCCATCCGATAATTGCATTATAATGAAGAATATCTTTTCCTAATGTGTTTGTAATTGGTAATAAAAATTTGACCTTAAAAAAAACGATCATATCCTTTTATTAAAAAAAAAAAAAAAAAAAAAAAATTAAATAAAAAAAGGTTGAAACTATAATTCTCCATTAATGGAATTTTTCTAAAAATCCATTATACCGTAGTTTCATTATGAAATCTGCCTAAGAATTTCTAGTATATCGATTTCAATTGTGTATTAATTTTCATCAATGTTCATCTACGCTAATAATAAGAATTTTTATTAATCATAAATATAATGAATTATTTGCCAATAATAGATAAAATAATTTTAAATACATTCAAATGTTTATAAATTTAACTATACAATATTAAATTTCGTTTACATCTAATAATTAACCGATCTTAAAATTTAATTAATCCAGTTCTAACTTTTCATCATATTCATCTCCATCCATCTCATCAACCGCCATTTCATTATCGTCTAATGCGTGATTTCTTGCTATCACAATATCTGCGTTATTAATTGACGTTGAAACATGTGCTACTTCTCCGGTTCTTATTCCACCATCTATTTAAAGAGAAGATTAGAATTAAAAAGCACAAAAAATTAAAACTTAATTAATAATATATGACTGACTTACCGATTAAAAGTCTACTCAATGGATTCAAGATTTTATTTTTAATTAACCTGTTTAGTGGACGAGCGCCATATACAGGATCATATCCATTTTCTGCTAGCCATTTGCGTGCATTTTTATCTACATCTAAATTGATACGTCTATCTTCCAGACGTTTATTCAATCTATCTAATTGAACGTCGACAATCTTTTGAATATCTAGATTTTTGTTTGGAAACTGTTAGAATTATAATTTTTTCATATATGAAAGACTAAAAACAAATAGACTTACGTTGAACACCAAGTGGCGTAAAGATAATTATATCATCCAACCGATTCAAGAATTCCGGTCGGAAATGTCTTTTCACATCACTCATTACTGCCTCTTTAATTGTATCACTAATTACGTCCGTTGTGATACCTTGTAGGTGATAATACCCTAAATTACTATTGGAAAAGAAAACTTATTGAAATAATGTTTGAAGAAATTTCGAAATTTCGATATAAATATATAACGTATATACCTTGTCAATATGATTACACTATTACTAAAGTCAACATGACGACCTTGACCGTCTGTTAAACGACCATCATCTAACACTTGCAAGAGTATATTAAGAACTTGAGTATGCGCTTTCTCAACTTCATCAAATAAGATTACACTATAAGGTCGCCTTCTAACTGCCTCCGTTAATTGACCTCCTTCATCATGACCAACATAACCTGGAGGTGCTCCGATGAGACGCGCCACGGAATGACTAAATAATAATAATAATAATAATAATTTTTTCGAGTTCAAAGCAAAAAAAAAAAAAAGAAATATTTTTGATTATAAATATTTACCTTTCCATATATTCCGACATATCGATACGAATTATAAATTTCTCATCATCGAAAAGTTCATGCGCCAAAGCTTTACTCAGTTCAGTTTTACCAACACCAGTCGGTCCAAGGAATAGGAAACTTCCAAGGGGCTGATTCTCGCGTGCTAAACCAGCCCGACTTCTTAAGACGGCATTAGCGACCGCATCAACAGCTTCATTTTGACCGATCACTCTTTTATGTAGTGACTCAGCAAGTGTGAGCAACCTCTCTGCTTGTGATTTAGAAAGACGCGATACTGGAATACCTGTCCATCTTGACACAACTTCATTTATTTGTTCCGGACCAACTGTATCCGTTAATAAATTATTTTCTGTAATATTTGGATTAGATGCCCTATCTTCTTCTTGCTTAACTTTTTGATCTTGTAATTCTTGAATACGATTCTCAACTTCAGGAATGGCATAGTATCTAAGATCAGCAGCTGTCGGTATATCAGCACGCCTTTCAGCATCCTCGGCTTTTGCTCTCAATTCATCCAATTTTTGTTTAAGTTGCCTAATATGATCTAATCGACTCTTATCATGCTCATATCTCGCCTTAAGAGGGCGTAGGCGTTCTTGAATTTCAGCCATTTCTTCTTTGGCTTTTTGAAGTCTCTGACGACTAGGTTCATCTTTTTCTTTTGCAAGAGCTGCAACTTCAACTTCGAGTTGAAGGTGTCTACGTTCTAATTGGTCAATGATTTCAGGTCTTGAATCAAGTTGAACCCTAGTATTTGCACAAGCCTCATCCATTAAATCGATGGCTTTATCAGGTAAAAACCGATTGGTAATGTATCGGGCTGATAATTGTGCTGCGGCCACAAGAGCTGCGTCGGCAATTTTCACACCATGATGAGTCTCATAACGTTCTTTCAACCCTCTCAAGATACTAATAGTATCAATAACGGATGGTTCCCCTACCATTACTTGTTGGAAACGACGTTCGAATGCTGCATCCTTTTCAACATATTTTCGATATTCATCTAATGTGGTCGCTCCAATACATCGTAACTCTCCACGAGCCAACATTGGTTTAAGGAGATTAGCTGCGTCCATCGAACCTTCTGCTTTACCAGCTCCCAACACCAAATGGATTTCGTCAATAAATAATATAATTCCTTCTTCCGATTCTTTTATTTCTTTTAGTAAATCTTTTAGTCTTTCTTCAAATTCACCACGATATTTTGCGCCAGCTATCATGAAAAAAAAAATTTTTTTAGTTTTTTAAGTAATTATTTTCGATGACGTTGACAAACCTAAAAATTAGTTTTCTACGTACCAATAAGTGCTCCCATATCTAGGGAGAATAATTTTGCGTCTAGAGATCGTGGAACATCTTTTCTTACAATTCTTTGCGCAAGACCTTCCACAATTGCCGTTTTACCAACACCCGGCTCACCAATTAATACCGGATTATTCTATAAATTTAGAAATCGAATGTCAAAAATAATTTTTTTAATAAAGAAATAAAAAATTTTCAAAGTCAATATGATAAACCTTCGTTCTGCGGGCTAAAACGCGAATCACCCGACGTATTTCGTCATCCCTGCCAATAACTGGGTCAAGTTTTCCCAATTTTGCCAATTCAATTAAATCAACCGCATATTTGCTTAAGGCTTGATAATTTTCATCACCACTCTTTGATTCAACACGACGATTTCTAAAATAAAATTTTCAAATTATTATAGAAACTACAGCGGTAAAATTTGTTAGAGACGCAAATATAATTTCCAAAGATTTACCCTCTCACTTGAGTTATGGCGATTTCCAAAGCTTTCTTTGTGACACCAGATTCCGTTAAGGCTTGTAAAGTTTGTGAATCATCGGCTAACGCCAATATTAAATGATCTTGGGATATGTAGCTATCCTTCTGACGTTGTTGAATATCGTGTGCACCACGGATAACCTTACTAGCTTGAGGACTTAGTGATACCTCAGATGGTGGCGGATCTTGTGAAGGAGCTCTTACTACCAACTTCCTAAACGCTCTTTCAGCTGAAGACGCGTCACCACCAGCTTTATTAATGATGTTTTTAAATAATGATTCACCAGTTGCATCATCTATTAATGCACATGCGATATGAGCTGGAATTAATTGAACGTGAGCATATTCTTGAGCTATTTGATAAGCTGCTGCAATAGTCTTCTCCGCTTTATCGGTAAATTTGTAGTTATTCATTATTAAAAAAATTTATAAAAATTTCGATTCAGATGCCGCAGTAAACTAGTCGCAAATGTTCAATAATTTTTTTTTTTACTGTAGAATATAAATTCCTAAAATCTAAAGATGATTTAATTTCACTTTTTTTTTTTACAAAAAAATTTTATTTTCCTTGAAATTATTTTATTTTAAAGGTAAAAAGCGAAAGAGCGGTGAACCTTTATATAACTATTTTCATTATGTCATTTCTGATGAAGTTATCATGTGAAAATGTAAATATTAGTAATAGAACCGACTTTACGCTTCGAGTAAAGTCCAGAATAAAATTTTGCAATCATTTTAGGTTGAAGATCGCCTATACCCTTTCTATAAAAATACTTCTTGGGGTAAAAAAACATCACATGTTATTTACGTAGTTAATGATTGAATTTCGTCACATTTAGTAGACCCAAATAAATTTGTTCACGTGTCGTATCGTGTGATACAAAAACGGACGTTCTTAAGTATTTGCCAAAAATATTTTATCTCTTATAACGCGTCCTTAGGTATCTTTCGGTCTTTCACATTGATATATATATATTTTTTTTACAATTCACAATTGAAAGAGATAAGTTATAACAGTCCTTCTGTACCTTGCTATTTGAGATCGTAACCGTAGTTATCCTGGAACTCTGAAATAACAACTGACTTCTCCTCACCTTTTCTTGTGAAAGTGGGGTTTCTTTGATAAAGGACTACTGGTTCTGGAGGAGGAACCGCTTATTTTCCTACCTTTATAACAAACAAAGAAACTTGTCCGAGGTTTACCGCCTTCCTTCGTGGGAGTGTTATTTAAATTTTTACATACAATATTGTCTAAAGATTGCTACGGAAACCCGGAACTTTCTGTGATGATCGAAGGTGACATCACAGATCTTGACCATGAAGAAATGTCGGAACGCATCGAAGCTACAAATTTGATCTTGTCCATGTGGTGAAGAAGATAAGGGTAAATTATTATTTGTTATGATTTATTCTTTATTAAATTACTCATAAGTTGATCGGTTTTGTTCACTTCGAATCACGTAAAAAAGCATCCTCAATTTTATTATAGTATGAGAGAGAAGCTTTTCTACTGTGATAACGATAAAAGAAAGAGGTCCAATGCGCTTTATATGTTGCGACTTATTTCAATTCCTCGAAAGGTTGATTATAAATGGTAAAATTTTTATTTTATAAAGTAACCTGGCAGTTCAAATATTGAATACAAAAAATTATTTCATGTATTTTGGAATTCTTTAATGCGATTATTATTCCTGAAGACTCGAGAGGTCTTAATAACCAAAACGGATGTGATATTTTAACTAGTGCCTGATTTCCTGTTTAATTAAATAACTCAATAATCATTTGATTATACATACTCGGGATCTTCCGTTGGTGATAAATTGATGGTAATTAGTGAAAAGGCAGTTTCTGGAAAATCCATTGAAAGTTTCTTACCCGTAGGACCATTCGAAACAGAAGCTTCCAAGCGAGTGAGTTATCAAGATATAGTTTATAGCTTTACAGTTGTTTGTAACTGATTATATCTTTCTTATAGAATTGAAGCCATTTCAGTTATTGAAAATTGAATATGGCATGTAAAAGAAAATAGTAAAAAAGTTCTTGAGATAATCTAAAGATTAAAACATTTAACTATTATACTTTGATGCGGATTATTTTGACATAGTTTTTCTATAAATTAGAATTATCAAAAAATATTTTTATTGAAGTTGTGTAACGAAGCAAGTTTGCTAATCAATCTATTAATGGATATAGTGAGGATATAGTAGGAAAAGCTTAGTAATAGATTTATGGCTGACTACGGAAAAAAAAATGAATTTACTTTTCAAGTTAAATAATAGTTTGTCCTTATCCAATAATTCTTCAAAGATATTCCCACGTTAAAGAAACTGCGGGTTTGAATTTCGTCATAAACCTATTCGTCTAATGTATCACAGGATATTTTAGTAGTTATATAACTATCAAAGTTCGCCGGAATTGGCAGTTATCCCTTCTCCCTTTATTAAACGAGTGGCTTTCAATATACTTTTTTTTTTTTTTAATTTTAACTCTCGGGCCTATTGGTTTTGGGGGGTAACGCGATTTCCATTCAGTTGAATCGTAGGCTGCTCCGTGTATTTTGAATTCGGGATTTACACTTTTCAGTAACGCAAAGTTCATAAAGTCTACAACCGCATTCATTGATTGCGGACAGCACTTCGTTTTCATATTTTGTATACATACAACATCACACAACGCGTGTTTTTATTTACTGGCCCTAGATCTTGTGAAACGATCAAGAAACTTATAAATATATAACCAACTCGGTTGTTAATTTGATAGCACGATCTCATTATTATTATTTTTTTTTTTACATTCAATCCTTAAGCCATGTCACAAAAGCTACCCGTAGTCTGGGAACCCCGTGAACAGGAAGAGTTTATTGACATGAAAGAGGGAGTCGAAAAACAAAATTTGGATAAAAATGAAGATATTGAAACAGAAATAGAGAATGTGGTAATAATTGAAGATGATTTGGATGCGGCAAACAGTGAGAAAGAAAACTTGTCGGAAAAGAGTGAAGAAATTATTGGTCGTCAACCTACTAAACCAGAGAGTAGTAGCGATGATGATGAGTTAGATGACGATGAAGATGACGATGAAGACGACGATATTGAGGATATTGATGAAGAAATAGTTGAAGAATACGATGGTCATGACGATGATGTTGTATTAACCAAACCAATTACACGTGTATCCCGCCGAGATCATGAACAACATCCAAAGAAGCGTGTTGCTTTGGCTTCAGAGACATCTAGGCAACAGCATTCTTCCCATCGTGGTCGTAATAGTCGTAAAGATCATCGACGTATTACTTCATCTTCCGAAGATGAAGACTATGTATCTGATGATATTGACGACGATAGTGAACCCGGTCAGCGAAGGAGGCATTCACAAACCTCAGCTACTGGTTCACGAAGGCGTGGTACAAAGGATGACGACCATACTATTAATTATGATGAATATGTTAGTCAATTGAAAGAACGTTTGTGTTATTATTCTTCTTATTATTATTGTTATTTGCTATTTATATAATTTTTTTTTATTAATATAATTTTATTTGATTAATTATATTATTGCAATTTTAATAGCAAATCCTTGCAAAACACTTAATAAGTTTATCGATTTTGGAGATTTAATTATCTCTCGCAGTAGTTTGGACTCTAATTATGTTATTGACTTAATGTATAGAGAATGGTTCCCAAAATTTACAATTGTACTGCTTACTCGAGGGTATTTATATTATTTTTGGAGAATATTGAGAACTTTTTATTTTTATTGTTATTCTATACTCATTCTTTATTGTACATTATTGTATATTCTTTTTATTATTTTTATTTTTTATAACAACAATACTAAATATTATTTCATCAATGATTCATTGTTGTAACTTTTTTTTTTTTGGAAAAAAAAAGTTACACCACTATAGCTCCCGTTCAAGCAAATACTATTGCGAATACAATTCAAACATTTCTAACAAGGGTTCTTCAAATTGCTATTCGTCTTATTGAAGAACCAGAAATAATGAACGTAAGCGATGAAGAATTTCCTCTTTCAGAACATATGCAAGATGCAGTGTCTCGCATATTAGGAGATGAAAATGCTACGTTTTATCGTAGATTTGATAATCGATTCGATTCAAGGCGATTAGACGTAGGTGTAAATTCAGTCATGATGGGAGTTGGTGATACTGAGGAGGCTGGATGATTTCAAAATTACAAATATATTTTGAAATCTTGCAGACAGACCTAAACTTATAAAAAATATATAACTAATTGATTCATCTTAATTATTGACTTTATTTAGATTGGCGAATACGATGATTCAAGTGATATAATTGCAATGGAACAGGTTCAAGAGAAATCAATGAAGATTTTATCAATTTAAGATGGTTTCTCATTAGTAATTTGTGCTGATAAAGCCTTTCATGTATGCTTGGTACCTGTTCCCAATTCCAAAGTTGGAACCACGTATATCCCAGTACCAATACGAAGCAATAAATACGTTCGTCAGTAATGGTGGATTGGATGCGGTTCTTCGAGCTCTAGGTTATGTCGATGAGACGACGCGACCGATACGAACCAGTACGCATCGCTTTAACAACCTTGATTTGAAAGACGTTCATGGTGTGATCAGAATGATCCATAAGGTATATAACTAAATTTTGTTTACACTTATTTAAATTATTAATTTTTTTTATACATGTTAATTTTATTTTTTTATTAGATTGGCCCATACGTTCCGAATAATGTGGACTTTAGACAAATTGTAATGAAAGTTGCAAATTGTGTATATGATCAAATTATAAACATACCTGAAGAATGGCTCGTCCGTCAAGATAAAAAATTAATCCCTAATATTGTTCACATGGTTACTTCCATGATATTAAATTTGCCTTCATCCGTTACTGGTACAGTTAAAGATATTGAAAGAAACTATCATCCAATGATATCATCAGATGAAGATGACGATGATGATAGTGATTATATATTATACCAAGAAGTACCTGACGAACAACAAGTTATTAGGAGTGCTCAATTGAAAATTGATATCGCAGCTCGTTTATTGAAGACTTCAAGATTAGACTTGCGGTTATCAGGTTTAAATGAAATTAAAGAAGCTCTTATTTTAGGTTTAAAACAAGCAAGAGTGCTTAAAAAGAGCAAGCGTAGAGGAAATGCTCGGAAAAGAAGTTTAAGCGTTGATGGCGAAGACGATGTTATTCAAATGGATGAAGAAAACCCTTCCGATAAAATCCATCGGTATTTGATTATTTATTGTTATCAGAAATTTTTGTTCCTTTTTAAAGTTTATTATTTAATATGAATAATAATAAATGATATCATTTTAGTGTGCTTAATGAAAAATTAAAGGAATATGCAATTTTAGAATACATATTTGGATCCAATATTCATTTGGAAATTGTGCAGCGGTGTACTGATATTTTAACTTTTATGATACATACTCGTACATTAACAACTCATGAGTTGGATATTGTTTGGTCACCAATTGATGGGAATCAACATCGTAGCATAATTCATGGTGTTTGTCAAGTACTAATCGATATTTCTGATTCATTGAATCAGGAGCAAAGAAATTATTTGTTTCAAAAGCTAATGAAAATGCCCATGAGTTTTATTGAAACGCAAACATATCTATTAATAAGAACATTGGTACAATCTACAATGTCCTGTGTAAGAGTAGGAGGAATGGTAAATATTTATGTTTTAAAAAATGATGTTTTGACGAACGTTGCGATATAATTTTTAACTTGATTCCCCAATTTAAGATTATGGGACAATATATTTCTTTTGAAGCTCATCGAATATTATGGCGTATACTCTGTGATTCTTCCATTCCTGTACCAGTATTAATGAATGCTGAAGTGTTATCACCAACAGCTGGATCTCCTACTTCATCTATATCGACGATTGATCCAGAAATTACACAAAATGCTTGTGCTGTTCTAACAGATTTACTTCAGGGTGATACTCGCCAGGAAGATCGTAATGCACTTTTAAATATGTGCATCGATTGTTTGAAGAGGCATGATCCGGGAACAGTATGGGCGTTAAGAATATTAACAAGGATCATTTGTAAGTTCATAAATATAATGCTAGATAATGTATTATTTAAAATCATAATAATTCAAAATTTCCTTTTATGTATGGTAGCTCCTCCATTTCCTAATCCGCCGACAACTACAAGCGAATATCTTCAACGTTTAATAACTGAAGTGAATCTTCCACGATTATTTTTGGATGATTTAGAGCATTGGACGAAAACTGTAAAGGCTTGTGCTGATAGAAGCTATAGTTCATTTAGCATGGATCTTGGTGAGGACTCCAAATAATACGCTTTAATTTCTTAATTCTGTATTTATCAAATTAATTGGTTTTTTTTAATATATATTAAAAGATCGTAATTCACCAGTTACTGCCACTTCATCAACAATTTCACTCTCTCCATCAAAAGCAGCTATATTAAGAGACCAGTTGATTTCGCGATTGCAATTCTTACAATGGGTTGCAAACTATGAAACCATTCCATTCTTTAACTCGACAGCTCAGACTGATGTAATTTGGAATTGTTTAATTGTTGATCCAATTGGCAAACAGGAACAAGATGAGGCATTTTCATATTTCGATCATATAATAGAATATGATCATTTTACAAATCATTTCTTTAATGATCGTTTACCCGAGTTGGATGTCAGATTTTTATCTGATCAAGCATTCAAGTACGCAAAAAATTGTTTACTTAAAGTTAATGCGAAAAATGGAAGGCTACGTTCGGTATGTCATATCCCTTTTGATATCGCAATTATTATGTTCAAACGTAAAATAATGATTTTTAATTTATTTTTAGACATCACCTAACCCTCAATCACAGAATCAGCTTAGCATTATTGTACAAGGTGATCTTATTGGAATCGACTTAATATGGGATATTGCATTACGCGCAGAAGAGGAAGCTGTTGGCAACGAAGCCATTGTCTTCTTGGTTTATTTATATTTGAATGTGGGTGTAGGGCTCATTGTTGTCAATTATTCATTGATTTTGTGTTCAGAGTTGTGGTTACACATCGTTGATCTCTGAATTTACTCTTCAGACGGATAAAAAATTGGAAAACCACAATAATCTTGCGCGCCAACATCGCGAGGCTTTGGTGGACAAATGTGTTGGACATCTTTTCTCTGCTGCTAACGGTTTGTCTCGATCTCTTGCCTTCTCGACAGTGGATAGTAGTGATATTACCATGTCGCGTAATGAAGATAGGCAAGATATGATGGAAAATGACGGTATCATATCTAACGAAATCCAAGCTTCATCGTTAGATAATCAAGTTTCAAATGCTTTAAAATTCAAGAGGTGTCTCGAGGTGTTGAAATCTTTTATGGACTTATTTGATACTAAATACAGTGATTCTCCAATGGACCTTAACATCGTGAGAAAACATAGCATGCTTAATGAGGCAGAAATGATTACCGTAAAGGTTACAATAACACATGCGGGTGTAAGTTTGACATACAGTTTTCTTATGTCATTTTTTAGGCTTTATTTATAATTTAAATTTTTTATTGTTTTCTTAGGCAAGCCGTGGTTTCGAGATTCAAATTCACCCTACTGAAACCATCTTATCATTAAGACAAAAAATTGCTTCACGTGTGGGATCTACCCGACCTGGAATGATCAGGTTAATCACATCAGGAAAAGAATTAAATGCTGATCAAAATGGGATGACCCTGAAAAAATTAAAAGTTGTTGATCGTCAGTCTTTTATGGCAATGAAGCGCAACACAGATGTAAAAAATGGTTTGGATTCCGACAAAACTGGAGACACTGTTGCTGAAGAGGTATATACACATATATATATGTGATAAATATTATTTGATTGTAAGCTTGTATTGTTCACAATGTACGTTTATCGTTATTTCATAGATTACACAGTCAGATCTACCAATTAATATGCTTTCGAAGTATATTGATCAGTTCTTCTTGATGCTAGAACTCGAAGAAACTTATTCATCACAGGTCAGTGATATTTTAAGTATTCCACGTTATGTATAATACATGATATATTTATTCACTTTACCTTATGGTTTTATAAGATATGGGACCTTCTTATGCGACTTCCTACGCACATGAAGTCTATGGACGCGTTGAAAGTTCTTGACATACCAGTGAAATGGCAAGAACTATTTGTTAATCGTTCTCCGTTTAGATTATTATATTCTTTGCAAATCTTAAATTGGCTTTTAAGAGATGGAGATGAAACTCAAAGTGGACCAGAGTGGAGTATGCGTTTTGTAGAAAACGGTGGACTTGAATATTTATTATCATTACTTATAATTCGAGATGCTTCTGTAAATGATGACTGTGAGAACATAATAAATAGCCAACAAAACAGTGTCACTAAACGTGCTTGCCTTGGTCTTTTATTAAAGGTTATTAGCTACTTTGCAGTTGGTATGTGTAAATTTATTTCGCTTTTCGTCAAATCATGTGAATTTGTTTTTATAACAGTGTTAGTTTCTTTTTTCTAGATAATTCATCTGTGAGCTCAATAGTTTTCCAACAACTTGATTCAAAAGTTTTAATAGCAAAATTGATTAATATTATCAGACAATGTGTAGATCCTTCCCAAAAACAAGGTAATAATATTTGAACAGTAATCTTTTTTTTTTCCTCGAGAATTGCTAATTGCTAATTATTTATGATCTCGTTTTAGTTGGAGAAGATCTTACGATCATTCGTTATTCTATGAAGCTTTTATCGTGCTTGTGTTTACGTGATACTTCAGCTTTAGCTTGCTTTGTTGAATATTCTGATTTGCGTGAATGGTTAATAACGGCACTAGTGGCATGTGAATCTGAAGAAGCTAGAAATCTAGTGTCCCAAATGTTGCTTCAATTTTGTAAAGACATTGCAGAGATTACAGTATCAGATCAAATCCCTGCTTCTCTTGAATCGTTCCTGTCATTATTATGGTCATTCTTGCCGGACGTGGAAAATTATGTTGACAGTAGTAAAGAATATTTTGAGTTGATGGGAAATTTAATGCATTTTATCACACGGTCTGCTCGCGTTAGCTTACAGACATTATATAAGGACATCAAACGACAAATTAAGGAACATCCAATTAAAGAAGTAATTGATTTTTTTTTTTATCTATATATAGTTAATATTCATATTCATGTAAAATTTTAACGAAATATATATATTTTTTTCTCTTAAATATTACAGCAATTCAATTCTCCTAATGAGGATACTGTGATTGTTGGCTTAATTAAATTGATGACGATCATTGTGTCTAAACACCCAGAATTTAAACGTTATACTGGTGATCTGTATGTAAAGATTTATAGGATATATTTTATTTAATTTACGATTGATATTTATATTTTTGCATATATTTTTAAAATCAGGTTACTCGATTTAATATTTCACGAATGTCTATTTCAAGTTCCCACCATTGAGCACGCTGGTTTATGCTTACCTCCAAAATGTAAACTCGAAGTTTCAAGAAATGCCGCACTTGAACTTTTGAATCAACTTGTAAAAGAATGTCCAGAAAACTTCCTGCGTATAACTGAATTATACTTAAAGCAATTGGATAGAGGCGAACAATTAAATGATAATTGGAATTATTGCCCTAGAACAGCTCAAAAGGCCTCAGCTGGCTATGTTGGATTACAGAACCTTGGTGCTACTTGTTATGTTAATTCAATTGTACAACAGTTTTACATGAACACTTCTTTCCGACAAAGTTTATTTACTGCACCGGTTCTTGATGATAATAAAGACGAAAGTCTTCTCTATCAACTACAAGTTGTATTTGGTAATTTGCAAGAAAGCGAAAAGAAATCTTATGAAGCTACTCAATTCTGTCACGCATATAAAGATTATGATGGACAACCATTAAACGTAGCACTTCAGATGGATGTCGATGAATATTTTAATGGACTGTTTGACCGATTGGAAAATAGTGTCTCGGGAACTCCTCAAGCGATGCTTCTTAAAGAACATTTTGGAGGTGCATTAGTTCAGCAAATTAAATCAAGAGATTGTGGTCACATATCAGAAAAGGAAGAGTCATTTTACGCTATAAGTTGTGAAGTAAAAAATAAGAAAAATGTTGAAGAAAGTTTGGAGCTTTACGTTGAAGGCGAATTATTAGATGGAGGTAAATTACTTATTTTAATACATTATCTGACGAATAATTTTGTTTTTATATTAATTAAATTTAATATCTATTAGACAATCAATATTTCTGCACAAAGTGTAACAAACCTGTTGATGCTATAAAACGGTATTTATTAATTTCTTCAAAAAAAATTTTTTTTTTTGGTAAAAAAGTTTTTCGATATATTTATTTCTCCTCATTTCTTCATTATAGATCTTGTATAAAGAAGCTTCCTAAGAATTTAATTATGCATTTGAAACGATTTGACTTTGACATGGAATTGTTAAAACGTGTCAAGATCAATGAATATTTTGAGTTTCCAACAAACATCAATATGGAACCATATACATTGGACTATTTGATTAGGAAAGAATCAGGACAACTCGACGATATGAAATTTGATGTTATTAACAAAGGTCAATTTGAATATGAGTTGGTTGGAGTTTTGGTACACACCGGTACCGCGGACTCTGGTCACTATTATTCATTCATTAGGGAAAGGAAACCTTTATACAATGATACAAGTTATGAGCGCAGATGGTATCAATTTAATGATTCCAATGTTGAGATATTTGATCCAAAAGAAATTCCTAAGCAATGTTTTGGAGGACCAGAATACGTAATGCAATGGGATCCGACTTCTCAAAAGAACCTTCCTAGAATGTTTGCAAGACAATACAATGCATATATGCTTTTTTATGAAAGAGTTGGTGATCAAGACATTTTAGAGTCAAAATCAACATCGCAGGACCAAGTTACCAAGGTACCTGTCGATATATATAGTTCTATTTGGGAAGAAAACATTGGTTTCCTTCAGGATAAAAACATCTTTGATCCGGGTTACTTTCAACTAATGTGGTCGGTTCTTCATTCTGTTAATTTCGATGAAAAATCTAAAGTCACTTTGAATGGTAAAGAAATTGATTTAGTTCTTCGGACAATTCAACTCTCCACTGAGTTTGTACTCGGAATACTTTCACGTGCAAAAGATAATCACGTACTAAAGGACTGGGTGGAATTTCTTAAAACCTTATTTCAAAAACATTTACTTGGATGTCAATGGTTTATTGGTCGACTTATCGATAATAATCCATTTTACATTCAACAAATTCTTATGTCTTGTTTTATTCAAGATGTTCGAGAACAGGTTCTTGATTTGATCATGTTTGTTTTGAGAACTCTTCGCAACGGAGATCCAATAGCTTACGGTTTACAAACTATACAAACTGTGATTATTGACAATGAAGACAGTCCAGACTCCTCTATGAATTTAGATTCAACTCAAGCTCAAATTTGTAACCCCAAAGGTTTAATCGTTCAATTATGCGAGTCTTTGCTTTATTTATTACCTTCCGCACACATGTGGTGGAGAAACTTTGAACAGTATTTCTATCTACTGTCATATATCGCTTGCTCTGGTATGGCGGAACGTATTTATATGATTAAGCGAGGATTTATTGGAGAATTAGTTAAATTATTCTTATTGGACGAATTATCTCCATTAAAATCTCGTAAACGAAGAATGGGTGATAAATTTTCATTACCCCCCTTTCGATATTTGTTGACAACTTTACGTACTCTCTTAAAAACGTGTGATGTTGTAAATATAGCTAGTGGTAGGGAGTTAGAAAGGGAACGAGATCCTTCCTCTTTAACAGGAATTCAAACTCCATTAAGATTAAGTGAATCTGAATCTGGATTAATTTTTGAACGTAATGAGTCTGAAGATCAGTACATATTCTTTATGAAACAAATTAGAGATCTTACTGATAATGGTTCATCTCGAGAAATCTTCCAGCACTTTGCTTACAATAATGAGGAAGTTTCCGAAGAATTTATAAATCAATTGATCCGTGCAGTTGATACTTATACAGTTGACCATGTTCGACCACACCTAGAAATCATATATTCATTGACTCAGCTCCAAGATTCAATTTCACACGTTAGAATCGAATATATTATTACAGAAATTTTGAAGGTAAAAACTTTAAAAGATTTTTTTTTCGCGCTGTTCAATTAAAACTTTTAATCGTCGTGAATTATAAAATTCTCATAAGGATATTCAACATCATATTCAGTTAGCAAAGAATAATCAGAACTCTCCGCAAATCGCAGTCGAGTGTCTTGGATTAATTGAGGCACTATGTACTTCTACAGTCGGAACATATGTACAACATGCGTTCTTCAATTTCATGGATGATTGGTTACTTGAATACCTTCTGATCAGTCCATATGAAATAGTTAGACAACGTGCCGAAGAACTATTTTCTCTATTAATATTCCGTAAACTGGATGAAGCTCAAGGAGATCAAGCGCAAAAAGATGCATATAAATCAATGATAAAGCATTATAACATGATGCTTAAGCATATGGACAATTTTGAACAATATTGGAAAGCGACACACAATAGGAGAGGAGGTACTAAAGCTGATTGTTTTGATGAATACATTAAATAATAAATTCAAGTTATCTTTGAGCTCGAATCTAATCAATTGCTTTTTTTTTTTTTTTGATTAGCTGAGCCTTATGGATGGAGATTAAGCAATATTTTTAGGTGCATGACAAAATGTTTGAGATCACAAAAAGAAAAACAAATGGTAATAAGGTTGGGATTCTATTTTTCATTTTTTTTTTTTTCAATTACTAATGTACTTTAATTTTATTAATATTTAAAAAAAGTTCCAAGCATCTTATGATAGATTCAGTTCTATTTTCATTTCAGTAGATTCTGCCAGGATAGATTGTGACATAGACAAAAAGGTTTGTTAAAAAATATAATTACGGTTCGTGTATGAATGAGTTAAACAATTCTTTCTAACCTTTAGGAAATAATCACGTTTTGGTATACGGTTTGTGAAAACTTTACACAAAATGTTGATATATTCATAACGAATGAAAATTTGACCAACCAACTTCATATGTATTATGTTAGGTAATAAATATACTTACTTCATGTTGTTTGTTCACTTTTTTTTTTATTATGGTAGCTGATAAAAAATTTCAATCTTTTTTCTTTTTCCTTTACCTTTTTTTTCTTAAAAAAAAAAATTAAGTATCAATCATACACAAGAGAATATTAATTATAATCAGGCAACTCTTCCAAAGTATTATGGATTGCTCTCGATGGGCTGTCGCCGTTCGCGGGAATATCATAAAAAATGGATGGAAGCTCCAAATTATTATTGGGCACTCAGTAGCATGATATTCGGTGACTTTGATGATCATGTAAGTTTATGTAGCGTTTTCTTTGCAATAATTTTTTTTTTTTTAAAAATTTATTATTTACTTTCCTTTCTAAGAAAACTGATGAATTGCTCGAGTTGATGAAATTCAGTGCTGACGAATCGTCAATGTTTAGATCGAAAGTTTGGGAGCATGTATTCCCAACATTAGTTAACACCGCAACTCTACCACGTAAAGTTAATCAAATTTTAAGGTATGTTCAATCATGCCGATAGCATGTTTTGATCATGGTGTGTAATCTAATTATTCCTATATAATTTCAGACTTGTCCAGTATTTAAATAGAGATTCTATTGAAGATTTTTATTCATTCTGTAAATATCACGGATTCGAAATCCTATCACAGGTAGCTATTTTATATGTCGGGTTTATCGATGGGTTGTAATACTTTTAAAGTAATAACCTATTATATTTTTAATAGTATATACAAGCTATTAAAGACAAACACCCTAGTGATGAAAATATTCGCAAATGTCTGGAGGCTTTGAACATAAATCTGGGTATCGCTTTATTATATCAATCTGAAGAAGGTAGATTTCTTAGTAAATTTGTTTTATGTTTATTTAAATGACGGGAATGATATTTTAATTCTAATTGTAACAATAATACATTAATAGGTATACATGACTACTTCAAAAGTTGGAAGACATTATCAGATTTTGTGGTCAGTTTCTTGACGTTCCTTCACCCGAACATAGATAATGCAGTTTACGTGAAAGTGTTGGGTAAGTTCAAATTCATAGTTGTAATATTAGTGTTGTAATTAGAATTACCAAATAATGTTCTAACTTGCGTTTAGAAATTCTTTGTAAATTCGTTTCAATGAAATCTACCATGGACCTCGCAAGTGGCATTATGCAAATCCTTATCGAAAAGCATTCACTTTGGCAACGCAGGTTATCTAATGTTACTCAAGAAGGTAATATATTCTCTCAATCTTTATTCCTTCACCCGTATATTGTCCTAATCATTCATTATTATAATAGAATTACAGGTGAAGTTTGGAGGAATCCGATCGATTTTTACGGAATTGAAGCTAGTTGACGACGAATCTGATACTTATAGCGTTTCGCCACCATCTGGACCTTCAATTCACGTTTATAAGCCATTCTTAACCAAGTTACGAGCTGAGGATTTACTTCGACTACATCAAAATATATATAAACCTTATTTGATGTTCATTAAGAAATTGATCGATGCTGCAACCGAATTAAAGGAATATAACAAAATTATCCAATTATGTAAGTTAAATATTGAGACCCGATTCAATTTTATTTTATTATTATTATTTTTTTTTTCTTTTTTAATAAACGAGGAATTATATCATTTTAGGTTCGTTGATTTTCCTGGAGATGGAAATTAAAGATGACTATATATTTAATGTACTATTAAATTTATATGAAAAGAACTCAAACAAAGAGATTGTAATAAACGCTTATCGCAATATATACTTTGCAATGTTGGTTGAAAGTATTTTGAATTCGGATTCACGTTTAATCTTGAATCTTTCGCCGGAAAAATTGAAGTTATTCAAATCATTGATTCTTATTGTAAGATATTTTATTCTATTGTTTAATTTACTCGATCCGTTCATAATTAAATTTTTTTTTACATTTAGGTAAAGTCAAGTAAACCGGATATGATTCAACCGATAATTTTGAAACATATTCAACAACTTGCAGCTAATGCTAAAGTCCTAAAAGAGAAAATTGAAGCTAAAGATTCAGCTTCAATTAGTGAAATTATTCAAGAACTCGTTATGGTAAGTTTTGTTTCTCTTATAAACTTTAAATAATTCGTAAAATTTGTAATTAATATCAAATTTATCTTTTTTTGTTCCTCATAGATTCTTCAAGTTTTAGTACTTACATTATCTGACAATTTTCTGCCAGTTGATGATCCTCTTAGACAAGCCTATTTAGATAGCTTAAAAGAAATAGATTCAGAACAGGTTAAAAGTGAGCTTGGACAATCTGAAGAATTGGCAAAATTAGTTAATAAGATGAATTTGTTGCTTGGTCAATTGACACATCAAAAATGTGACGACGATTTTGAGGTAGTTGAAAAGACTGAAAATGATGTGGTTAGCAATGATGAAAATAATAATGGTAATTTTGCTTAAATAATCATGAAAACACAAATATATATATATATCAATATATAATTTTTATCACCCTTTTTCATTGAGTGTACGATATATTTCTTTACAAAAAAAAAAATTTCTCTTTGTTGTAGTATATCTTCCTTTTTCTGTGATACAAAAAAAAAAACTATATTATTTGATTATATTAATTATATATAATAAACATTATAATATGTTAGTGTTGTACAAAATGCAAGATTACTTGCAGTTAATATTACACGACTCTTTACAATCATGCAAATTATTCCAAACTTGGAAAATTTGTAGTAGCGATCATTCTAATTTTTAGGGATTGAAAGAACTTTATTTTTAAAGGTGATTTACAGAAATTAAATTTTATTGGAAATTTATTTTTAAATTGATTTGTAAATCTAAGGTTTGAACCTGCATGCTTGCGTAATGTCAAAAAAAATCCAATAAATGTATCATACTATAACCGGAAATAGTTAAGCACAAAACTGATTGGTGTTCTTGGCAGCATTAAAAAAATGTGATAAATATTTTCATCCCTCGTTTTTTTTTCATTTGCTCTTTCTTCTTTCTTTATTTTTTTAAAAAACAACTTTTTACAAAAATTTTTTTTATTTTTAAAATAACAATAATAGTAATATATGGCTCAAACAAATGATATAGAAAATCAAATGAATGAATTAACGATACAAAATAAAAATAATGAGACCAAACCTAGGATTATCGCTTCGTTATCCCTTCAAACCATTATTCCGGAACTTGTAGAGTATATATTAATTTATCTACCGATTCCTTATACAGTTTCACCTGTTTGTAAATTGTTTCATGAGATAGTTTCGAAATCATCAAGTTTTAAACGACGTTGGCTTCGACTTTGGCTTCATCCAAGATTACCAGATGCGTTCTTACCAAAGTATTCTGAACTATGTCAAGCGGTTGAAACCAAAACACCATTTTATATATTAGTACAAATCATCGATCTACGAAGATTATATAATCAACCACTTGCATCATCATCTGGGGGAAGTGTATCCAAATTATTTGATAAAGCTTTCAAACATGAAGAAAGGGAGAAATTAATTAATTTCCTATTATCTAGGGATTTAAATATTGATAAATATATTAAAGATCATGCATCAAAAGATTTTGAAAGCACCGAAGGGGGATCAGAACCGGAACGCAAATCAAAAAAGGATTATCTCTCACCATTAATCATAGCGGCGCAAACGTCAAGAAAGTTTGTGAGAAAACTTGAATTGACGAAAACGTACTTTTCGGATACGGATTTGGCATTCGCGATCGTTCTATATGAAAGGCTTGACGTTGCATCCGTTTTATCGAATCATCCACAGCATACATTAGATATTTTGGAAGAAAGTGTTGACAGGCAATACACGGAAGGGATCGCATGGGCGTTTAAACATGGAGTTGGAAAGGTGCAAAAACAAAAACCTTTGTACCTTCGAATGTGCATTGAGAAAGCTGACGTTAAATCGGCAAGACAGATCATAGAGAGTGGGGCCAACATTAACATATCACCATCAGCGCACACGGATGATCCGACAAGTTATGGGTCCACGAGCCTTTTGGAGTTTTGTATTCAATGTTATTTCGCATACGCCAGCGAGGAAGGAAATAAACAAGCAAGGCGGGAGTTGATCGAACTATTCCTGACATCAGGATCTGATCCAAACGCGGACGATGGTAGACCATTAGCACTATGCGTGACCAATCATGATTACGAGATGGTCCGACTGTTGTTAAATTATGGCGCCGACGTGAATTGTGATGATAAGTTGGCGATTAGGATAGCGACCGATATGGGGTACAAAGACATGGCAAGGATGTTATATCGTATATCCAAACCGGATGAAATGTCACAATCTAATCCCACGATTAGCTCAACCGGTGAAGTTGTTAAAGGGATGGTGAAAAGAATGAGCATGTTGGGAAGGGGTAGGAGAAGGAGCGAAGGAGATGCGAATCATCATCATGTAAGACAAGGATCTAGTATTTATGTCCATAAGAAAGGTGCTTCAAGAGGTTAACGAATTCTAATTATATCAGGAGACCCGATTCTTTTGTAAACTACAACTTAATTTTGTATAGAAATTTTAACCACGGACAATTCGAGTTTAATAATATCTCGTAATTAAAAAAAAAAAAAAAAAAAAAAATTTGTAGCAATGTTTTTTAAATGATTATTAGTAATGATCACAAAAAAAAATACCAATTTGTAATTGTAATATGTAATTTGTGTTCAATCATTAACTTAAATGTAATTCATTTGTATCTATCGAATGATGATTAAACCTTATTAACAATACTAATTGATTTTTAATCTATTCAACAATACTTGTGGGTAGTCACATGATTTGATATTTCTGTCCCAATTTTCATAACCATTCGAAATTTACCTAAAATGAATATAATAATTAATCTTTGTTTTAAAAAAGTTTTTTTTTTTTCATATTACAAATATTGAAGTTGTGTATTCTTAAAAATATATAAATACATGATTATACATAATATAAAAAAGGATGTATATTTTTTAATTTAAAATGATTTGTTTTATCATTATTTATCATTATTATTATAAAAAGGACAACCAAATGAATGATTAACCATAATGGTTATAAACAATATTTATATACATTAAATGAATATGTATTAAAAATATAGATTATATTTTTATGTTCATAATAAACAGCAAATCATTTTGGAAAGTGCAAATTGAGCAACAAAGTTCCAAAAAAGACTGCAGGGGCTTAGAAAGTTGACCAAAGAAATCTAATTTGATGAAAAGAAGAAACAAGAAGTAAAAGTTGTTTATTTCAATCATAAGCGTATGACGATCACTATCATCATATTCACCTTGTGAACAGTTCTTTCGATTCAAGTGTTTCTGATATCATTATTTATTTATAACATGATTATGATCCTAAACGTGTACGAACACTAAATGTATTGTAATATAACACCAATATAATCATCTCATTCAATTCTCCTGTTAAATAAAAGAAATCAACAACATTAAAGATTATTCAGGTAAGTGCAATTCTTTACACAGAATGATAAAAACCAGGGCGTTGTTTATATGTTTCCACTATAAAAATTGTTCAACATCTTGTATTTTATCATTCATTCGCACTTTATTATTAACTCTTTCAGGTTAAGTTTTATCGGATTTATGCATTTATTTATGTTACCTTTACCCGAGTTTGGGAAGGATTCGAGTGGAATTTGTGCAAATTCGATTGAGGCGGTGTTGTTCAAACATCTGTGTTTCCTCTGTTCTTCACTCCCCCCCTCATCATAATCCACAAATTTTATTACACGTTGGTTCCTGTGCACCATGTAAACAACAACTAAAAAAATATATATAATAATGGTGTGTGAAAGACAAATGGGACAAAGAAGGAAGAAGAGAACGAGGACACGCATCCGTCCTCTACCGAATTTTTAAATTTAAAAAAAAAAAAAAAATTTTTTTTTTTTTTGGATTTGAAAATCTTTGATATATACATAACAACATCCTCTCTTCTCTCATTCTCTCTTGATTTTTTTTTTTTCTTCCCTTTTTCTCCCCTTTTTTTTTAATTTTTTTTTTTTTTTACTTTACTTTTTATATATTAAACCATCCAAACTTCTTCTAGCCTGGTTGCTTCCACTTTTTCTCGTGGATTGAAAAAAAAAAATCATCACTTTTTTTTTTATAATCATTAAAAAATCCTTCCAAAAGGGCGCAACTAAAAAAAAAAAATTTAATTATTTTTTTTTACATCAATAAAATAACAAATTTTTCTCGTTTTGTTAACCAAGACGGATGAACCGTTTTTGAATCACAAAAAAAATTATTTCTAAATTATAACGGGTCTGCAGGCAGCATTCAAATCTGCTATTATAGTTGGATTGTTAAAAAAAAAGGACGATTGTAATTAATTATTATATTATTATTATCATCCACCATTCCAAATCAATATTAACGATCAAAAAGAAATTATACATTACAATACACACATATATATTATTTTAGTTGAACGAATTTATTAATAATCATTAATATAGTAATATAATTAGTCTAGGAAAAAAAAAAAAAAAAAAAAAGGAGGAAAAAAGGAAAAAAAAGAAGAAAGTGAGTCTTTTTGATACTAATTTCATGTTGTGCTTTCTGTGTTCTGGTATGGCAAACGGCAAAAAGGAAAATTCTCAAATCAATCCCTATGTCGTTTTGTTTTTGCTTTTAAATGATAAAAAATTTGCTGTTGCCTAAACAAAAAAATTTTTTTCCTCTCCTTAATTTTTATTTTTTTTTCCTCTCTTTTAACGTAAAAACTTTTTTTTTTTTTTCTTTTTTTTTTTTTTATGTTATTCGTCACTCCTTACATTACACCTAGTCTAAAATTTCTTTAGAGCAAAAAAAAAAAAGGTAACTTATCACTGTCGCTTAGAAGTTGATTGAACCAACGAGGTTGACATATTTTCTTTCTCATTGGATCATTATCCAACTTTATGCAGTGTCACAAATCAGCCCGCCAAGCTTGGACCTAAATAAAAACTCTTTTATTGGGATTTTTTTTTATTCCATATCTGACGTCACTTCAACTTTTAGGCAGGACAAAGAGAAGGGGTTTTACTACTTGTTATTATTAACAAACAAACAACGCGTTTGACAGGCACAGACTGTGATCTTGGATTACCACCGTTCGAGCATATATTCTCTGTCATTCTCATCAAGAACGAATTACCCGAAACAATCTGTTTGAGTGTTTTCAAATACAAGGTAAGCAAAGATGGTCAGAGTGCATTGACCCTTAAATCCTTAAATTCCCTCCCAGACATTGAAACTGATGAAACCCGCTTCTTTTCTCTCTCTCTCTCTTTCTCTCTCTCTTTCTTTTCTTCTTTCTTTCTCTCTCTCTCTCTCTCTCTATATATATATAAATCTATAATCACAGCCTAACAATGGCAGATTCCAGTGTCAACTTTTGGGTAAAAACTTTATTTTATTTTTCTTTTTTTCTTTCTTTTCGCCTTTTCTAAAAATTGTAGGTTGTAAAACAAAAAAAAACAAACGAACTCAACCCAGTACAAATAAATCTCTTCAGGTAAATCCTTTCCAAATGCTGCGTTTTAACGGTAACGAAGAGCAGTATAATACAGCTGTGCTTACCAAAGAAGCAGGAGATGACGAGCGCGAGAACGGTGGTGAGTTGAATTTCTTTTCATAAGAATACAATATTCTTGAATTTTACGAGAGTTGAAAGAATATATAGTACAATTTCCCAGGAACTATACCTTTCCTTTTTTTTTTTTTTTTTTTTTTTTTAACTTAATCCTTCTCATTCCACGTCTCAATACATATTTCGCTCTCATATTTTGACACATAAAAATTAACATCCTCTTTAATAACGGTACCGATATTCTAAATTTTTTTTCATTTCATTTTTTCAGATAATACCATAATCCGAACAAATTCGCCTAGGCTGTCAACACCTGGGTCGTATACCAAAAAATCCTCACTACCCATGTCAACACCGACGCGTATCCGACGCCATTCCTTTACACCAGAAGAAAAACCACCAAAGGGTATCAACTATAACTCTATGCCGCCACCAACCAAAGTTGTCACCCCTGCAGATGCTGCCGCTGTGCTGGCATCACTGACACCTCCATTCAATGGTGCTTACATAAATCACGATAAAAAACATTCCCATAAACATACCGTAGATGATAAACTATCAAAAAAACAATTGAAACGCAGTATAAGTTTTAACCATTCTAACCGTCCAATCTCCCCCCGTCAAACAGCTCCGGCTCCGTACATTGACGTTGCTGAAGTATTGGCCACAACGGTTTCTTTTGTTAGAGAGAACAACAAGAAACTCGATAGGCTGTCTGATGAGGTCAGAAGTGACGGACAAAGCAGTGATTACGATATGGATTCTGATGATAGTATGGACTCTTATCAACAGTCAAGCAATAATGGTGAGATTGAGAATGAGATCCACGAGATTCAAATGTTAGCCGTTCAATTGGATGACATGGAACAAAAATACAAAGAACAGCTTCGAGGAAAGAATAGGTTGATAGAACAACTTGAAAATTCTTTGAAGAAAAGTGGAAAAGATCAAAAGAAGAGACGTATTGAAGTTGAACGTTTAGAAAGTCAACTTGAAGCTGCAAGGAGGGCTATAAATGAGTTGGTAGAACAAATGGGTTGTATGACTCGAGGACAATCACCTGATCCTGAACTAGCCGATAACCTCCGAACTTTAGAGCAAGAATTGGAAGGAAAAAATGTATTGATAAATGAACTTAATAAAAAAATACAAATCTCAAATAGGCAAGCTATTGAATCAAAAGAGAAAGAGAAGAAACTTGAGTTGATATCTAATCAGCTATTGAAATATCAGTCACTTGAGAGTGAATGGCAAGATAAACAAAAGACACTTGATTCCTTAACTTCTCAATTAGAAATCCTCAGAAAGCGAGAATATGAACTTCACGAAAAGGACGCTTTAATTGAAACTCTCAATATCCGCCTTGACACTTCACAAAAAGTAATCGCCGAACTAAGGGAGAAACATGCCCCACATGATCTTTTGAGACAACTTAGACAAAAAGATTACATAATCGATACCCTCACACAACAGGTTGAAAACATTGATTCGGATATGAAAGATAAGGATGACGATATTTCTGCCCTTACTGCGAAATTAACCGAGGAGAAAAGACAAATAGAGAAGTTAAAGGAGCAAACCGCTCAAATCGAACCTTTAAAGAAAAAAGTTGAAGATGCTGAAGATGCTGCTTATGATATTCAAACTAAACTCTCTCAAAAGGAAAGACAGCTTGTCGAACTAGAAAAGAGATATAAGGAAGCTTCAAGGAACTCCCAAGATAGCCAAGATCAACTTATATCCCAAGAACAAACCATCTCCGCATTACGTCAAGAAATATCTCAGCTCAGACAAGCCTTCACAGTTCAATCCACTGAAACCCGTGAAAAAGACCGACTCCTTACGACCCTTAGGGATGAAACTGC